TCTTTGCAAACCATTATACCATAAATCTCACATCTCACAAAGATAATATTTTGTAAAGATAAGAAAATAACTTGGAATAGCAGGTCATTAACCGATCAGGGACCAGCGAATGAAGATGAGGTGCAAAGGTTGGATTATTCATGAATAACGAAAAGGTGGGACTATTGTAAGAAGACCGCTAAAAGGTTGGATTATTAGTTTCCATTTTCCCTAATAATTATTCAAAAACTAAGTCAAATATTTTCATCCCGGATAGATAAAAGGGTACCTATAAGTGAAAAAATAATCGAGTTATGAGACTTGCGTTTGAGACACATTTTCCAAGCCTTCTGCATGAGTAGCACATGTCCTCTAGTTATGTAGAGACACAACACGCGACCCTTCCATGGACGGGAGCCCAATTATCAATGTCATATTTCCAAGCTCATATAGTACATTCAATTACCAAAACATATATCATATAAATCACTAAAAAGAATACGTTAGTCACACCAATTACATTTTCTTTCAAAATGGGTTTTGTATGTCATGGATCAAGGTTTGTATTAATTTATCATAAAGATACAACTCATACTAAGGTAGTTGCTTTCTTTTCCTCAAAATAAAATTTACTTTGTTAATATAGGCACACAATAGTATTAACATCTTATGTAGACAAAACTGATTTTGAGATGTTTATAATGTTAAGTCTATTCTGTATGCAGATTTCAAACATACAATTTGTTTTTCAAATTAATTTAAGCAATTTTTAATTAGTAGCATTAATGCTTCAATTGCAATATATATAGTCGCATGTATTGTGAATATGTGAGGAGGTGATATTCATGAACATAGGATAAGATGCAAAGTTTAGCGAAACAAAAAATCGAACATTCGGGAAATCAGTCAAACAAATTGAATCATCTTCTTAGTTTTCTTTTTTATGAAATTCAAATCAAATTTCTATCAACCCATCTTCTATTTAGGTAAAAAATGATTAGGTGGTCTAATTTTTAACCCATGAATATAGAAAATTAATGTCAATTGGTAGATCATGTGTGAATGTGTGATGTGTACAATTTATTTTGGGGAAAATCTAACGATTGAAGTAATTGACAAACCATGTAAACAAAATTATCAAAATCAGTGAAGTGACCGAGGTTCCGACACACATTACCAATTTATTACAGTTGAATGCAAAATACAAGCTAGAAGGTAGGATATACTCATATGCGTAGAAATAGCCAATCTAGCGGATGCTCGGAAATGAGAAACTCCAAAACAATAAATATTTTTTTAAGAATAATTAACAGTAGCTAATGAGTGACTCAGAGTGAGCTACTTGGTTTGCTTCCCTAACAGAATGGTGAAATTTAATCATGTAATTATCCCAAAATATTGTTGTCATCCATGATTTCCCAAAGGATCCAAGAGCCAAAGGAACAAACTATTTCTTATCTCAAGCTTTAAAATGAAAGCATTGCATCATATTGTCAACTGCTTAAAGAAATGCTTTGCTGCAGCTCCAAGCACGAATTATGTAGACAATCTCAGCCTTTAATAAAGTCATTGTCTTGTCATAGACCCAATACTCCAGATCTGAGATGCATGGGAGACTTGAGCAAGAACATTGAAGTGAGAGATTTGATACTTGTATTTCATGAAAGAGCAAATCTTTTCCCAGTTTGCTCAACGGTGGCTATTCTTAGAGTCAGTTTATCCCCATAGAACTTCAAATCCCAATTCTTTCCAGATATTCGATAGTAGTGGTACTACACTTTGTGAAGTCTTTTGAGAATAACTTGTTTATATTCTTCCTTAAATGAAGGTTATGAAGGTGAATGACAATTATAGCCTTCTTCTAGAAAAGAGTTAAGGTAAATTACTTTTTTTACTTGCATATACATTCCAATATTTATTGGAATGTGTTATAGTTTGGGACACAAGTGTCTTAGAACCTTTTATAAAAATTAAATATGTCCCAGAGCCTCGATTGCGAATGCGTTCTTGACGAGCAGATGCAGGTACCACACCTCATTGAAGTATACTAGATTTTCACCCGTGCGATGCACGGGACATATATTAATGTATAGTTAAATTATGTTATTTATTAACATTATTAGTGAATGTGTAATAGACAAATAATAATTTTTATTAAGGAAAAGATACTTACCACTCGTAATTCATAGTTATTATGATTTTGAATAAGAAGGAAAAATAAAGGATACAATAAGATTTATCAAGACTAAACATTTCAAAACACTTCCTTGTAAACAACATTTGTAGTATTGTAATTCTTTTCTCCATCTTCACCGTAAATCAATATATTCAAACTCTTACGATTTGTCTCTCTAGATATCGCAACATACAATTGAACATGTGCAAACACTGTTTTTTTAATAAGAGTCCAACATGCGTCATAGATTGACTTTGACTCTTATTTATGTTATCGCATAAGAGGTCATGACATGAAATTGTTTTTTTTAAACTTGAACGGTATTCGTGCATCAGATGGAATCGAACTTAACCCTGAAATGACAACTTCATAGCCCCTATACTTTCCACCTCAAATTCTTGCTCCAAGGATGTGATTTCCAAGTTGGGTAACATTTAAAAGATGTGATATATTCATCCGCTTTTGAGTATAACTTGAAAATGCAAATGCTATCTGAATTTAAATATATTCTTGATTCTTTGTTAACATTCAAAGATGTGATATATTCATTAATTACATCCAGCACCTCAAGAGTTCAAGCTAGGATTGCACACTCTTGTACACACGTTTAAAACTTGTAAGATAAATATATACATTTTGACTTTAGCTTGGTTAACCCATTTCACACATTATGAAAATTGGAAATGTTCTACTCCATATTTTAAACCATAGCATTTTACTCTTGTAAACTTGTAAGTGTTTCTTGGAAAGAAAACTTTTACTGTTATAAATTACATACAACTAACCGTGATGTTAAGTACATTTGACTAATGAATTTAATAAATTAGGTAAAAAGGAGAAGTTCTTTTAAACGTTGTCTCGAACCACCATTGCATGAATACGACCCCCTGCAGAAACAGATTACGTATGGACATTAATTGTTACCATGTGTTTTAATTTAATGCAATCAGTCATCACAAATCACAATATACAAAGTAAAATGCCTTAGAGTATACCTCTTCATCGTGCAAAACCAACTCAAGCTTCCGCCATCCCTTGGCTGTGCGCCTGTGCAATAACTTTGTAAAACTATTGGCCATATATGATCATGGACCACGTACCGTTTCTCTTCGAAGTATCTGCCATTACTAAGTTATGGTCCTAACAACACTAACTCTCAATGCCCAGAAATGTGTTACGGTGATGTGTTGAGCAAAAAGGGTTGTATTTATAGTGGTTTATTGTAGGGTGTGTTCTCCTGTCTTAAGTAATATTTTACTCCCAAAAAATAATAAGAGTACTAAGAAATTCATTTATCTGTTGGACAATGTCCAAGATTAGACAATACATTTATTTCTTGAGATTGTCACTAAGTTTATTCAGACCTGAGTGCTTTGCATTTAATGTAACATTACTATTTTTGCTATCACATATCAAAAGAGTCCCAATAAACAATATTGTTTTGACAATATTGTACCCTGTATCTTACTCCGTATATATGTACGTTACTTCAGCATGATAACTCAAACCACTCACTCCGTATATATGTACGTTACTTCAGCATGATAACTCAAACCACTCATGGACCTGTCACTATGCATTTAATGCATCCTTACTATTTTCGACATCGAAATCAAAATAAAAAAGATTTCTTAACTACATATTGAATTTAACATGCAACTTTAGTAGATAATGCTCCTCGAGTTGGCTGATTTATACATGCAGTAGATCCGATCCGAACTGTACTCTAGCAACCCGACCCAATCTTTGACCCCTGCAGTAGATCCTAACTATACTCTATAGGGCTGGGACTTTGGAACCAAGAACCGGAGAACCGAACCGAACCGAACCGTTATGACCCGGTTCGGTTCGGTTCCAACATTTATTAGTTATTTGTTAACGGTTCGGTTCCTAATTTTTATTAACGGTTCAGTTCTCGGTTCCTGAAAAAAATATGTACCAGGAACCGTTAAGGAACCGTTATACATAATCATTAAAATTAAATATATTTTTTATGAATATATATATTGTAATGTATATTTACTTATTTATTTTTATATTATATTCATTATTTTAGTTTAGTTATTTAACTATTTAAAACTATTATTTATTTCAACCGGTTCTCTTAGACTTCTTAGGCCTCTCATTAGGTCCAAACTCCAGCTGGTCGGAACTTGGAAGGTCCAGAGTATTTAAAATTATTATTCTCTTTAACTGGTTCAACATATATGTATTCAGATTTCCAACGTTGAATGTCTTTTTGGCAAAAATTTAGTCGTGATTTGTAAGAATTTTTTCAAAGACTAGGAACCGTTAAATGACAAGAACCTTGGAATTGCATGAGTGAACAATAAATTACCTGCTCTTTAAATATAGTAAATTTTCATGGATGGCCTCTACTGCGCCTTCAAGTTTTCTCAATTCGAGTTCTATACCCTGTTTGGATGTCAAAATATGAAGTGATGAACACACAACAATTATTGGGTAGCTCACATTGCTTTGCCTATAAAGAATCCTACTGGATCCCATTTAACATGGAAAGAACGGTTCGGTTCCTTATCGGTTCTTTAAAATAATTTATAAGAACCGAACCGTTAGTAAAATTTCATATTTTCAAACGGTTCCACATATTTTGCCTAGGAACCGAACCGGTCCCAGGCCTAATACTCTAGCAATCTTTGACCCGGGACTTTAGGCTGGAAAATGAGCTGTTTTCACGTCTTTTTATATAGAGGTAGATGTGCTGCATATATCTATATGATAAAGATGGCATCCATATTTTAGATGAAAATATGGCAAGGTAACTCAACGACCTTCATCTTTTAGACATCAGCTCTTCAGACTTACATAAATGACACACTACCAGTACATTTTAAGCAGAACCCGTCTATTGATCCATTTCAATCCCAATATTAGAACTCAGCCAAATTTACATATGCCAAGCAGACTCAATGAAGCTGCCAAATTTGTTTCATGTGTGAAATCTAAGCACAGGTCCGGAAAATGAGAAAATTCATGCACTCACCATTTACTATGCATTAAGCATTTAATCAAATGCAAAATGAAACAGTGAATTTTAAACTTTTTCGTGCTTCTGTTGTAGATAAAAAATCTACAACCCTCCGAGGAATTGCCGAATACAGAAGAAGAAATTCTAAATCAACTTTTTCTTTTGGAAAAATTGCTTCAAATGCATTATTTGAAGTAATGAAACCCCAATGCATACACCCAAAGACATGAGACTGAACCAAGCAACCCGAGAATTTGTTGTCTCGCTCACTGTCCGCATCTCTGCTTCTCTGCAAAATCATAAGATAAGTTTTATGATAGAGGGTTAATAAGATAATATTTTAAGAAGGAAAATTGGTAATGGAATTGCATGAGTGAACAATAAATTACCTGCTCTTTAAATATAGTAAATTTTCATGGATGGCCTCTACTGCGCCTTCAAGTTTTCTCAATTCGAGTTCTATACCCTGTTTGGATGTCAAAATATGAAGTGATGAACACACAACAATTATTGGGTAGCTCACATTGCTTTGCCTATAAAGAATCCTACTGGATCCCATTTAACATGGAAAGAAGCTGGTACAGTGGAGGTTTGTGGAATTCTCTCCCACTAGATGGTTTAGTAAAAGCCCATATAGGGTCAGCTTGAGCCCATTGTCTACCCTCTACCTCTATAGTTGTCCAGCATGACTTGATTTGAGGGGACGTGTTGTATCTAGAATCGGTTGTCTAGTGGGTTTTAATCTAGTCAAGTATACAAGAGTGAGCTGAACCTCAAATCTTTTTCCAATTTGAGACAATTTGAAAAAAAAACAATGTCCTTCCAAATGTTCATGTACATGTTGACATTTCAAGTGTTATGGAGCATAGTGCTTTTTTCAACTCACTCAAAAATGGAGAATTTAGAAAAGATATTAAGTAGGCAACATTTTGACTTCAACAGGTAATATACTAATATCAAGTAGTTTGGATCTTTACTCTGAGAAAGCGGGATCCCTCCCTACCCTCTGATTGGTTAGTGGATCTTTTTTGCAGAGGGGGGTGTTTAGCACTTCAGCTAACTATTTTATCTCTATAAGAAAATAGCCAAATATGTAGCTGATCATGTAATTCTATATCATCATGAGAATAAAGTAATAAACCAACCCTCCGGTCCTCCCATTCAATCCCCTCCGAAAATCTTCTAACCAACCAAAAGACACATGTAAGAAATGAAGAATGTAAATCAATGCATGAAGTTAGGATAGCACCTCTATCTTCTCCTTTCTTGCAACTGATTCCCAGTCCTTTGCAGCAATTCCAGTTTTCCAATCAAGGTTAACACTTAAACCCCCACCACTAGGACTATGGCCATCAACCCAGAAACAAGCCAGATAGTTACCAGCTTCTGTGGTCGTGAAAGCAAACTGACCATGTGTCACATTCTCATGATGATGAAGGTTGTTTCCATATGGTGACGTTACCTACATCAAAAGAGAAGATGAAACTATAAAAATTAAAAATAAAAATATAAAGAGGTCCACTTTTACGACATTATCAACCAAGCAAATGGACACAACCTATTACTTCATCCACCCTCATTAAAAGTGTGCATCATAGCCTTTTTGCCCAAAAGAGAGACAAGTTTAATCAAAAGAAGCTAATTTTTCACGAATTTTGTCAAAACATTGGAAGCAACAAGTCAACAAGTCATAGACGAGCTACATGTGACAAATGTAGTTAAACCAAATAGAAGTACGGGTGTCGGGTGGTGGTTAATGAACATTGCATCTTACTGAAATTATACAAAAAAATGGTAAAACATGATGGGCAAAGGTAGTATTATTTCTCAAATGTCATAAAAGAATGATAGGGAAGCGGCTGTACATGAAAAGAATGATAAATACTTTGGCCGAGTTTATTCTAGAAAGGGGAGGAAGAATAGTTAGTTGGTAGTTATATCTGTTACTAGCTATTAACTAACTGTCGGTTAGAGGTGGGAGGTTATAAATAAACTAGTCTGGGAAGAGAAAGGCAAGCTGTTTCATAGTTAGACTGGACTGGGAGAATAGAGATACACTGTGCTCTTTCTTTGGGGCTTCGTTGTACTGGCTTTCACCATTAATGAAGTTTGATATTGTTTTTTGAATTCTATTTCTTCTTTTCTGTAAATTTTACCTACCTGTGAGTACTCTATCAAAGAATCCATCTAAGCAATGGTTTTTCTAAGCTATAAATGTATAATGCCTCATTCAGTCTCTTCCGAGTTTAAGCAGAACAACTCATTATTTGTTCTCTATTCAACAGAATACGAATCTGGTAAAAGTGAAATTCTAGCTTTTATACTACTTCAAACCACACAACTCTTGTGTCACTTCTCCTTACACCAAATCTTTTATTGTACCCCTTTTATGCCAGTATGCAAGCTGAAAATTAACAGAAAGCATATGAAAGCTTTCTAATGAGACAAATCCGAGCGGAACTTTGCTTTACAAAAATCACACCAAACTAAAATGGAAATTCTAAAAGTGATTCATGTACAAACTATGGAATGAGAAAAGATGTACGCACTGCACTAGAAATACAAACGTCCTGAAAGTGAACTAACCGACCTTGACGGAGATGGTGGGAGTAGGGTGGACATGATCGTCGGAAATGACGACGTAGTCGGCCAAAACGACGACGTTATTGTGGATTTCCTCCGAGACACATTTGGTGCCGCTCGCCGGAAGATTCAGCCATATGGCCTCGCCTTTCTCTAAGAGAACAGACAACACCAGCAATGGCAGTGCCCACATCACCCATCGACTTCCACACACGCCCGGCTCTTCTACCACCATTTCCTTCTCGGAGTTTAGCTCTTATATTTTTACACTATAAATATATACGTATCTGCAAGCGAATCGTCTCTCAATTCAGCTACAGATCGAAGAGGACTCTCTCCTCTGCTGGGTTTGATTCGGCTGTGCTCACCAGCGATTGATTTATTGTTGCTTGGGGAAACAGAATTGTAGGAAATCGGAATCTCGTGAACGCGACTTGAGCAACCAGATGATGTTGCTTGTATTGTATTACTCATTATTTAAAGTCTATCATATACTCCGTAATAAATAAAGTGAATGTCATTTGAAAAAAAAATAAAAAGGTGAAACATGTCTCTATTTTAATTAACTAGATTTTCACCCGTGCTTCGCACGGGATGCAGTTAGTAGTAAGTAATAAATAGTTTGAGAATATAACGAAATGTTGTGGAAAATATAGATCAACGTATATATCATTTTTAACAAATGTAAATGAAGATTAAAAAAATTACAAATTATTATATACTTCCTTGTAAACCACATTTATAGTCTTCTTGGCCGGTTTTCCATCATCATCACATATAACAAACTTCAATCCAGATGGAGACGTCACTCTTGAGACCGCGACATAAAGTTGTCCATGGGTGAAAACCGGACGACGTAAGAAAACACCAACCCTCTCCAAAGACTGCCCCTGACTCTTATTAATGGTCATCGCGTAACTGAGCATCAAAGGGAACTGTCTACGTTGAAATGTGAACGGTAGCTTTAGGTCGGATGGAGTCAAGCTAAGTTTCGGAATGAGGAATTTTTGTCCTGCATTTGTTCCAGACATCATCTGAGCCTCGAGAATATGAGTTCCAAGTTTAGTGACGATGAGGCGGGTGCCATTACACAATCCGGAGGAATGATCTATATTCCTCATTAGCATCACAGGTGCACCCACTTTCAGCTTCAGCTCATGACTCGGCACACCTGTATGAAAAAAACTCTTTCATCGTAACATATTTTCTCCCTTCGTTGCTATTGGTATCCTCTATTGCACGCGTTAACAGAATGTCTTCTCTAAAGCCATCTTGACCGTAAGGAAACAATAGTGGGTATTGTAAGCCTAAAAAGGAAGGGTTCAGTTCAGTCACAAACTGAAATGCCCCAGATTTTGTTTGAAGGACAACATCTCTCTCTTTTCTGTTCACGTCAAAGTCCCCCTCAATTAAAGCTGCTACTTCAGATACGCTTGGAGTGTTATACGTGCGTCCATCTGAACTCCTTTTCCCAATAAGTCTCATTTTCAACGTCGTGGAGTTTGATGCATTGAATCTATCCCTTGCCATCCTAAACGACTGTGCATGAACATTGTGCGTGTCGAGCATATGTGTCAAGTCTGACACCAATGCGTCATGCAATTTTGTACCACCCTCACTCCTGTATTTGTAGGTACAAAGTAGATATTTTCAGAAGAGATTAGCATTAATTATAAGTTTAACCAAATAAAGATTGTCATAATAAATAAATAAATAAATAAATAAATAAATAAATAAACAAATAAATAAATAAATAAATAAATAAATAAATAAATAAAATTAATGAAATTGTCTTTTTTTTATGCAACAGTATTTCTAATGAGTAAAAACAAATTATTCCAATTATTTGAGTAGATATCAGCATATGAAATTAACATTATGTACTACCTCCGTTCTTAAATAAATGCAACATGTTGAATTTTATATTATTTACATGTTCTACGTTGACTACATTTTATTTATTTATGTGTAAATATATATTTTTGAAAAACATATTGTTAAATTTGTCTAATTGTGAATTTTCAAAATCTAATTTTTTAAATTTATGTACTAATAGAGAATTATTATAATAGTCAAATTTGTGTCTCGGCAAATGTGAAATGTTGACCGTTGCATTTATTTAAGAACGTGGGAAGTATAAGTTTAATCATATAAAGCTTGTCATAAAAAAAATTAAAACTTCATGGAACCGACTTATTATTTATTTTTAAAATTCTGAGATTATTGAAGTTATCAATAATATAACTAAATGGGTAAAATTATTTAATCAATCGATTTACCTGACAGCTTTAAGTCTATTTGAGGTTTCTTCACTTGGATCACATAAATACATCTGCAAAAATTTGGGTTGACCACCGTCCCTTGGAAGAAGACTACCAATTCTATGGTAGTTTTGTCCATTTATTCGAAATATTGGTGGCGTTTTCCCTTGATTGATGTCTTTGTCTTGTTTTCCTCCCATAGAAGTAAATGCAAACATGGAATTATATGAGCGGATGTTTTGGAGAAAATGACGGCTACGCTCGTTAGAACCAAATATCAAACTTTTTAAAGGTTCAGGTGGCTCTTTCATTGCAGGCAGCACAACATTTCCTTGACTACAACACAGGGAAAATCTTGGTGGTTTTCCTGCAGGACTTTTCTTTACTCTTTCTTCGTACCAAAACAAAGCCCCACAAAATTCGCACTCATAGGATGAGTCCCCAAGGTCTGCATAGGCTGAAAAGATTGGAATATAAATTACTACACATAAGTTGCAAACATAGTCATGTGATTGTTCAAGGATTCAATTGTTGGCTCTTTAGTAATATATTGTATTGCGCAGAGTATAAATATTTTGTTGGAAAATATATGTATACACGTTCGAACTTGAATAATACCTTCACTTAAACAACTCGTATATTCAGCATCTCCTGTATGTCAAGAACATGGAAAATGGCATTATCATTATATGAAAACACACACACAAATATATATATATATATATATATACACACATACATATATATATATATAGTGTGCGCACATGCTATGTATCGAGAGTGTAAGGTTTATATCGTTTTATGCATGTAATGTACAATTAAATTTAAGGTTGAATTACGAACCTTGGAATACAGGTTGCTCATGTGAGGAGGCACCGATAACATCGTTTTGATCTTCCTTTTGGTTGGCTTCTATACAGTTTGGAATTCACAAAATCATTATGCATTTGATTAATATATATCGATGATGTTTTCATTTACTTAGATTTAAGGTAAATAGGTTAAGAAAAAAATTCTAACCTTCATTAGTAGCATCACCGTTAAAAGCCTCCGTGGGATTCTTGTTATTTCCTGAGGGTCCACCTTGTGATCGAGTAATGCATGTCCCCATAATCGTGTAATCATCAGTCGGCACTATGAATTTGCCGATTTGCCATTTATTGTGAGCTATTGGAATTATACGTGTAACGCTTTCACGTACAATGCTCTCTTTCTGTTGGACTATTGAACAAAACAATATGATTCAATACATGATTCTTACAATAATAGAACACATGGAGTGAGGTATTATACATAATTACCGTTGGTGAGTTGAGTGTCTAGGTTTTCTCCAATGTTTGTTCCTTCTTGAAGAGGATGGTCGTTACTATTCAGCGACGGACTTGCACGTTGAAATGCATCTCGTGATCGTTTACCCAATATAGTAGTTGACTTAGTCAACTTCTTCATCTGCTTTATTAATGTCAACATTAATTCAAAAGTCGTTAATTTTTTCATTTTTATATTTAAGAATATAAAACAGAATTTTTAATTCATTAGGAGTAATGAATTAAAAATAAAAAGTAAAAGAATTAGACATAGATGCACATTAATGTAAGAAAATATGTTGAAAGGTTTGCTTTTACACAAATTGATAATTGTTGTCATACAAAATAAAAATTGTAAACGACGCCGTGTAATTAAAAATGAAATAATCTCTGTTTTCTTCTTTTTTCAGTTTGAAATTATAAAGTAAATTATTTATCACTATCAGGCACCATTGGTTTTAAATTAATAAGACAAAGAATCGGAGTTAGAAGTATAAGAAAAGTGAGACATGTTTAAAGAAAATTTTTTCAACTAAATCTGTATACCGCAACAATGAATAGCTAATCTCCATTCGTTTTTCTAAAATTATTGGCTATACGTATTTTGTAATCTATTTGTGTATATAAATTCCAAACTATTGGTAGCATGTTTGTTTACAGTAATGAAACATTTAATGCATGTATTAGGGTCTTTCATTAATAAAAAATGGGCTACTGCAATGTCTATCACAGTTACAAACAAATAAGAGTAAAAGTCACACAATAGTATGTTACTACCTCCGTCCCATTTTATGTGTCTTAGTTTGACTTGACACGGTTATTAATGAAATGATTGAAAAAGTAAAAATTGTGGTTGAGTTTTGAGTATAATAAAGTGAAATGATGTAGGCCACATATTTCATTCCATAAAGGGAAAATGGACACTTATTTTGGGACAACCCAAAAAGAAAAGTAGGACAGGTAAAATGGGACGGGGGGAGAACACAAATAGGCGAGGGGAATTCTTTGAAGTTGAAGATCAATTTTACGATAAAATGGATTATGGGAGTGTGCTGAACTATTGATTGGTCTATGTAGATAAAAAAAGCCTAAGCCTACCACATTTGAATTATCATCACCCAAATGTGTCTTTGTTCCAATTGACGCATAAGCCTTATGTGAGGGATAAGCTGGTTCCCTTGAAAATAATTTTTTTCTATGATCATATAAAAATCATGTTATACATAAGTAGGCTCTGTAAAATCCAATCTATGGAGACAACAGTAAGACTTTGTAGCAAAAGAAATTATGTGTGAATTCAAATAAGCTTCATTTTTAGGACTTCAATCCATGACCATGAAAGTGAATTGAATACTCAAAACTATTACCCTTCTTTCCAAATTAACGGTTAAGATAATTGCCTTCCAAATGTAATGTTTATAGGTTCTATCTATGGTAATAAGCAATTGGTGATGAAGATCAGCAGAACAATTACTATAATAAACAGGGCCAATGAAATGCCTATCACGGCCACGTTTAACTCATACTGAAAAGGACTCTAAGCTATGGTACAGTTTTAGTACTCTAAACATAAAGTAATGATTATAAGATTTATATATAAAGAGTGTCGTTGATGAATATTTGATATGCACTTTAAGTAACATTGATTTATGATGGGATAAAATAAATTTTGCTGATAATATGTGCGCATGTATATAACTCTGGAACATATACGGAGTAAAATTTATATATTCATAAACTATGCAAAAAATCATACGGAGTATCAAAGAAAAGTACGTAACAAATTCATATACGGAGTAAAATAGTCGTATGGGAGAATAAAAAAATGAAAACCTAAAATTCAGACTTCGGAGTACTACATGTTGTGCAACATACCGTAGAAACGGCGAGTCTTGGAGTCAGTCATGAAACTGGGAGCTCGTGCATTGGAATCATACGTATGTTTGCTGTCAAATGATAACTGTATTACTCACCGTCCATACATACTTCCTGCTCGTATATATTAGAAGTCCGTTTTATTATAAAACATGATATAAATGCCTCACAGTGCGTGTTACAAAGCTTTGTAAATGGAAAACTTTCATAATCAAATCATATACTATCGTGTATGTATATACACTTCGTGTGTGTGTGTGTCTATATATATATATATATATATATATAATCACATTAAGCAAACTATAATTCACCTGTGCTCAAGGAATCCGGAATAATGGGAAGGAAGCGGTATAGAAGAGGAATGGTCGGCGGCACGGCTCTGCCTAAAGCAGTCGAGGTCACCAGCGGAGAACCACCGCTATGAAGCAAGGAGAACAACCGCAGCAATATGAACCAACTGAAGGAAGCTGTTTTTTTTTTCGTGCAGCAAAGGTCAATTGTACTCCGTATCTTTGTTGCTGATGTTTTTTGTTTGTTGGTGAGTGCAAAGACTTCTAATTGACGTAAAATTGCAAAACATCTGGGCAAGCTTTTAGGTAGAATAGTTATGAACGAAATTAAAAAAGTTATGGAGTATTTTGCTTAGAGTGGTATAGCTTTTTTATTTATACTCCGGTTGTTACAAAAAATATATCAAAGTTCATAATTTTTTATTATCTTTCATATGACACCAATATTGCATATATAAAAGTAAAAAAATAATTAAGCATTATAAAAAACATGTTATTAAAGTGTTTTAACTTTTGTTTTTGTACTCGGATAGTTACAAAATACTACTACCTCCGTTCTTTAATATTAGTCCTCTTAGGCTTTGGCACGGGTTTTAAGAGGAAAGTAGTAGGGGTAATGTAAAATGTGTAATGAGTATTGGGTAAATGAAAAAGTAGGAAAGAGAAACGGGTAATGGTAATAAAAGTTGGGGTATAAAGGTATATTTAGAGTAAAAATTTTCCTTAAATGGAAAGGAGGACAGATAAAAAAAGCGTCCTAAAAAGGAAAGAAGGACTAATAAAAAAGAACGGAGCGAGTACGTATATATCAAAATTTTCAATTTTTTGTCATATTTCATATGACACCAATATTGGGAAAATTCCCGAAATAGGACTAAAAACATTTGAAAATTCCAAAATAGGACTGTCATATTTTTATTCCCAAAATAGGAGTAATCACTGCCAAGTTTGGAAAATACTGCCATTTTCAAAGCCTGGTACTGCCAAAACATGGCATTAATTAGTCCTATTTTGGGAATAAAAATATGACAGTCTTATTTTGGAATTTTCAAACGTTTTTAGTCCTATTTAGGGTAATTTCTCTGTAATATATTATTGTCATTGTAACTCCAATTTTTCCCAACAATATTTTGAGAAATAGTTTTAATTTGTACTAATTTGATAATTATTTTATCATTTTAAATTAATTTGGGGAAAAACTCAATATATTACTTAATCCATCTCAATTTGATGATAAGATTTGCTACACATTAGCTATTGGGATTCTTGAGATGATTAGATTTGCTAAATAATAGAAGTGTATGTAGGTTAAAAAGAAAAAGTTAATATTCGAAAACATCAAAGTAGGTTAAAAATAGGAAAGCCACTTTCTAGAGAAACAACTATCTAACGATAACATCAGCAGGATAGTTCTAAAGTAAATCTTAATTAATGTTAATAGCAACAAAAATGTTGAAATAACAATCTGATGAAACGCATAACAAAATACTCGAAACGCATAACAATTCGGAACAATGGAGTTGAGCTTCTTAGTAGCTGAACTAAAAACGAATAACAAACCCCTAAAGTGAAAAAAAAAATTAAAAGTGATAATAATTTATGGTTTCTCTATCTTGACCGATTTGAGCTTCTTAGTAGCTGAACCTCGAGTCAGTGGAGTAGATGCACCAACATCAAGTTCACAATCAATATCATCTTCAGAGGGTCGCTTAGACAATGATTGTGGAGTACTCACGACCTCCTCAATATCCTTGGAGATATGTGTCTGCATTAACAGAACAATAAAACTATGATTCCATTTTTTACTAATGACAACGAAAACAGGTCATTTACTCAAGTTATTCAGTTTGTCTCAAAATATAATCAGGGTTATCAGAAGAAACTAATTCATTACTGTCACATTAATATAAAATACAAAATAAACTTAAAGAAATCAGTACTCTATAAATGAATCAAACCACACTCTTAAAATTAGAACTGGAAGGCATGATCTCTGTAGCAAATGCATGTTGCATATTAAAACCTGACTTGTGCAAGCAAAAGCGTAAACCTTAGGTTAAATATAAACAACGAATAAGGTTTCAGATAAATTGATTTTGAATCTTTTATTTGTATATACCAGGCTGATAAATTCCAAACTTAAGATACTTTTTTTTAAGCAATTGATTAACAAAACATCATCCGAATCATATGAAATCTGCTAGAAGATTTAAGATGAAGCTGAAAGTTATACTCTTTAAATTTTAAGATTTAAGATTTTAAACTCTTTAAATTTCAGATTTCTTTTGTTCTCCAAAAAAAATATGAAGCTGAAAGTTATACCAAGTTTGATTCCACAGGAGTTGGAGGGTCATCCAGCATGTCTAGATCGTAATCTGAATCGTTCTCCTCTGCCTGCAAGGATTTGATGCTTAAAATGTCATAAAAAGAAGTCCATTATTTAGCCCTTATAACTTAGCAATAAGATATATATATATATATATATATATATATATCAATGATTTACCTCTGAATCTGATGAACCATCAAAAGATGATTTGATCTCATTGATTTTTTCTTTGTTGTTAGACAAAGCCCCTACATAGTAGGATTTCCCATGGACAGTTGACGGCCCTTCACTGTCAATCTTAAACAGGAACTCATTACCAACCAGCTGTTCAATATCTTCTGGACAGCTCCTAGGACCAAAGGTGTTCTAAACAAAATATTTTAAAACATATGTTTACACAACCACGTGTT